AAATGACCTCTGCATACAAGTATAAAATGTGAACACACACAACACTGCTGTAGATACACCTGATTTAACATACAACATAAACAAAACAATCCTCTCATACAAAGTGATAATGTCCAATCCTGACAGAAACTTTCTAATGGTGTTTACAGATCAATGGAACAACCATGGCTCCTAGCCAATTTCACCAGCAGAATGCGAAGAGTGGAATGGAGATTATTGGAGTGCAAAGCGACCTGCTCTTCTGGAATAACAGTGAGATTAAAAAAAAAAAAATTCCCTCAAAGCCACTGTTCTTGCAGAATCTCATAAATGGAACCCAAATTGTCAAAACCCTTTTATCTTGGGAATCAATCACCCTTGTTTATCTGGCTGACGTCTTCAGTCTGCCTTCAGAGTTCTTTTCTGTTAAATGGACTACACAAAAATTGTCATTCCCTAGATTTTATATATATTTATATAAAACTCCTTTATAAATGCCTTTTAAAAGAGAGAGGGTGAGGAGATCAGATCAGAACTGAAACCACCAACGTGGGTGATAATTGTGGATGCAATGCAATGGAAACTTCCCACACAAGCCCCCACTGAATTTACTGGTGCTCTTGAGCAAATCCTGACTTCAATTTGGAGGAGTCATCACACTGGAGAACTTACAGGATTGTGCCTAACCGTTTCATTTTTAATGCATTTAAAATTTTTTATCAACCACCTTTCCCAATTATCAACCGCTTACTGAACAGCAGCAACTATGTGTTGGGTACGGATTCAAAGCACAACTACCACGAATCTGCTTCGGATGCCATTCCAAACATGCCGAAACAAAACCTTGAGAAAATAATGCCCCGTGCCTTCTATTTACTGTGAGTCAAGCACCTACAGAAAATCAGTATACAATATTTTATCGCTGATCCATTACCCCAAAAGATATCAAGAAGATGGAAGTGTAAAGAGATAGATGGTACCTTTTCCCATATATGGTGGTCCTGCAAAAAAAAAAACCCTAGTAAATATTGGACAGAAATACATACTGAAATTCAAAAAATGTTGAATATAAAATTTGCTGTTCCCAGAGACCAATGTTACTAGGAATTCTACCAGTGAACACAGACAGAATTATACATGAATTGCTTAGATATATGTTAACTGCAGCAAAGTGGAAAATCGAAGACTGTCCAACACTTGAGAATTGGATAGATGAAATGCAAGAATATGCTATTATGGCAAAACTGAGAAACTTCATTAATCAGAGACCGAAAGATGAATGTGAAAATAAGTGGCGAGTTTTCTATGATTACTATAAACAATCTTTGTAGTCATGCAGTTGAGTGGTTTATATTATATGTTAGTTTCAGTATGAAATATTAAAGACTAGGAAAAAGGCCCGTTGTGGAAATAAATACAACGGCCTCTAGAAAGAGGCTCTGGGCGGGTGCCCCATCCTTGGACACTCAGTGTCAATTTGCTGTGGCGACCTCAGCAGGGTATAATGACACTGAGTCCACCATTTTCTCCAGAGGAACTGATCTCTGCTACCTAAAGAACAGTTGTAATTTTGACTGATCTCCAGCCCTCACCTGGAGATTGGCAACAATGGTTCCCCAGAAGGGAATAGTTGGTTTGGAGGGTGGAGTCTATGGCTTTGTACCTGTCCAAGGTCCCACGCCTCCTGAAACCTCACCCTCTCCAGGCTCCATCCCTCACATCTCCAGGAATTTTCCACCTGGAGTTGGCAACCCTATCTCCTTCCCAGCCAATCATCAACCTACCTTTATTTCCCACTCACTCTTCAGCTTTCCACCCCCCACCCACCTGCAGCCTCTCCCGTGCTCTGGAGCCCTGACTGCTACGTCACATTGGCTGTCATAAGGGGGCCACCTCAGCAGCATATAAGGATACAGAGCCCACCATTTTCTCCAGGGGAACTGATCTCTGCCATCTGGAAAGCAGTTGTAATTCTGAGTGATCTCCAGCCCTCACCTGGAGATTGGACACATTTTACCTCAGAACAGCAAAACTGTTTAGAATGTTAGAGGCAAAAGCCAATCAAGTCGCATATGCAAACGACCTCTGTGTTCTTCCGCCCTGGCCTGGTGGAACTCTCTGCCAAATGATATCCACACCCTGCAGGACTTGATGCAGTTCCACAGGGCTTGCAAGGTCTTTGGTTGAAGACAGCAATAATTACCATCTTGGCTGGCCCTCCCTTCCTCCTATCCCCCCCCCCTTTCACTCATCCCCCTGTGAAACTGTCAGAACCCACAGCCAACAATGGAGTACACGCTTTCAAGAAAGGTTATACTTTTATTGAAGAGCTATAGATGCATTAACATAGTCACTGTTAAGAATGGCAGTTGTCCCTTGGACATAATAAGATATAGGGCATTCGTATGCACCCCCCCACTGCGCTGGCCAATTAGGCACCCTCCTGCGCGTGGGCTAAAGCCAGCAGACTGTTTGCGCACTGCCCGGCTCCCACGGCTGCCTGAAAAGGCAGCCAACACACACTCCCACCTGCACATCGTTATAGATAAGCGTTTCGGCGCAAAGCATAGACAGGAATGCGAAAGCAATTTACACAGACTCTGACTGAGCATCCCAACCCCCATGGCAGCATAGCTGACAGAAACGAGGACACAATTGTAATTGGAGGTACCGATGCCATCTGAATACTGTAAACCAGGGGTGTCAAACATGTGGCCCGGGGGCCGGATCAGGCTCCGGAGGGTTTCTATCAAGCCCGCAGTGGAACTGCCTGTCTTCTGCTTCTTCTTCCAGTTCTGCTGCTGCAGCGTCATTGTAGGTTTGCATCTTACAGATACACACCTGAACAGCATACTCAAGATTGCCGCAGCACAGAAACTTTGATGCAATAATTCAGAGCAAGAGGTGTCAGTTATCAGACATTGTTAAATAAACAAAATATTGCAAGAGTTTTATTATCATTGTTCATCGTCGCTCAGAGCCCTGAATACTCAGGGATCGAGTGATTTATAAATCCAGATTATAAATAAATCTCACAGAGGCTGATGATTGATTTGGCTGACTTGGCTTTTCTATCCTTCAGTAGCCATCCCTCCAGTACTTTTCTCTCCTCCCTCCCAAGTTTCTCTGATTTTGTGCCGTTTCCCCTGGCAGCTGTGTTCTGACTCTCCCATCCTATCTAGAGAGTAAAGAAAAGGGAGAGGAGCCAGAAGAGAGACGCTGTTCTCTTGTCCTCATTTTTCTTCTCTTGATTTTGCAAGCTCCTCAGGAGCCCTGGCCAAGCCAGCTGAAGATGGGAGTGTCCTTCTCAATAGGAAAAATCAGTCCTTCCAGACTAACCAGCATTTGTACTGATGGATTTTAATTTTTATCTCACCTGTTTCCCTGGTGGGGATCCAAAATAGTTTACAGTAGCATTCTCCTCTCCTCCAGTTTATCCCTACAGCCCTGTGAATTAGGTTAGGCTGAGTGACTGTCCAGAAGCCACCCAGCGGGCTGCCATGGCAGAGTGGGGATTTGAACTCAAGCCTTCCAGGTCCTTAGCCAGACACTCTAACCACCAGTTGCTTGGTCTCTTACCTCATGACCAAGCACAACTTCCCTTCACCAGTAACAGCACCAGTGAGCTGAATGAGAATCTCTGGTATGTTCTGAAACTAAGTAAAGTAAGGTAAAGGTTTCCCTTGCTCGAAAGCCAGTCGGATCCTGCTCTAGGGGGTGGTGCTCATCTCTGTTTCCAAGCCGCATAGCCAGCGCTGTCCGAAGACGTTTCCATGGTCATGTGGCCGGTGCGACTAAACGCCGAGGCACACAGAACACAGTTACCTTCCCACCAAAGCGGTACCTATTTATTTACTTGCAAATTCTTGCTTTCGAACTGCTAGGTTGGCAGGAGCTGGGACCAGAGACAGGAAGTTCACTCCATTTTGCGACACTCGGGTCTCAAAACTGCCGAACTACAGACCTTCCGGTCAGCAGCTCAGTGTCTTAACCTCTGAGCCACTGTGGCCCCATAGTTACCTTATACTCCATCTTCAGATCTGTTTGGGCATAAAGAAGTACTCACCAAGGAACGCTGGGAACCGTTGTTCTGTGAAGGGGTTTACTAATTTCATAGCTTCCCCAGAACTACAGTCGCCAGCACTGAAAACTCATTTCTATCGACCCAGCTCTGTGGAAGTTTTCATTTGGAACACACAACAGCTTGGAGGAATACAAATGAGAAGAGTCGTTTTGTCTGCTCAGGAACAACGCTCGGTATTGCAGAATGCATTTGTGACTAATATAGGAGAGAAGCTCAAAACAGACTTTTGTCAGGTCGTTCTACAGCTCAGAAACCATCTGAAGGTCTGTAAAAGGGGACGGAGAGAGTAGAGGATATAGGAGTTAATATGCATTCCCCTGATGTAACACAAATGCTTAAGCAGATACTTAGTAAAGAAGCAGGGAATCCAGAGATGAAAAACAACAAAGAAGGGCCATACTTTAACAGTGTGTATCAGCACAATTTTTTTTTCTTGAAAGGGTGTGGACCAGGGGACTCCAATGTGACACTCATGGTGCCCACCAACACTTTCCCTGCTGCCCACCAAGTGTTTTTGGAAAGTGGGCAGGGCCATGTGGGACTTTTGCCCAGCAAGGCTTCTGATTGGCCACTTCAGGTTTGTTTGTTTTTTAAAATGTTGCTCTGGCAGCAGCTGCTATCACTGCACAAGGATCTTCACTGTGTGTCTGAAGGCAAACTGTGGCAGCCATTTTACATAGGGCTGTGCCTCCCGTGGCAGCCATTTTGTGGCAGCCATCTTGTGGCCACGCCGTGTCAAAATTCCAAATGTACCCACAGGCTCAAAAAAGTTGGGGACTCCTGGTGTACACAATGCTTTGTGAATTCCCAGAACATAGAATGAGTGACTAATCGGGATTTTCAGTAGCAGTGCTGGTGACAGCTTTCAGTATCCTATCCAACTCTTCTACCCTCCGTGTCATTAGCAGGAACAAGACCACAGAAACAAATGCCAGTCTTCCAAAAAAATGTACATTTATTTAGATGGCAAGATTCACATTTGAGTCGCAAGAGCTCCAGAGTCCTGCCTAATGTATTCCCCAATCGCCCAGCATAATATAAACAATAGGATCCTTTCTTTTTTAAAAATGCAATAACGTTAAGATTAGCAATGACAATCCCTTGGCATTATTCTTTCAGATGCTGCATTCACAAAGCTGAGCATTGGATGGTGCTGAACGGCGGGCTTCTCCAATTCCCAAGCTTGTTAATCCTTCTGCGATTGCGGAATGAACTCGGGTTACTTGATTGGGTGGGCTGGTGTCACACCAGTCATATAAATGAAATAGAGACCTGATACCCAGAGGGAAATCTGTATTCCAACAGCTCTCTTGCTCACGACCCCTCATTTCCCTCCCTCTTTGTCCACTTGATTCGGAGGATTTCGTCAGTGCCGTTGACTAAGCCCGCCCACCCAAGCGATGATCGCACAACCAACAGACGTCCGAGGAGACAGAGAAGAGCTGCAGGGAATTGGTTGAAGGGTTTCTGACCTTCTCAGGAGTCACCCCCCTCCTTCGCCTCTGCCCCATCGCCGGTCTGCTGTTTAACATACTGGTCCAGCAAGGAAGTCAAGTGAACGGGGCCGCGCTGCAGAATCGTGCTGGTCTGGGAGGGCAGGACAGAAAGGGCCCCCACCACTGCCCCTTGGGTGGCCACCAGGGAAGACAGCTTGGCGTAGTTGGCGAAGCCTTCCCGGCTCAGGAGGGTGTTGTCAACGCAGCCTCCTGGAAGCAGACGACAAAAGGTGAGCTGGCGGCGGCCAGAGTATAAAAGCTAATTTGGGAAGAGGTCGCAGAATTTGAGCCTGGGGAGAGGTCGCAGAATCGGGGGAGTTGCAGAATCGGGGAGAGGTTGCGGAAGTTGAGCTTTACCACACACACGGGATGCTCAACAGCAAAACTGGGGGGGGGGGCAATGCTCCTTCTAAGCTGTGGAGTCTTGCGAGCAGAAATTCTACTTTGTGAGTGACTGGCATGAACATTGCGAGTGAGCGATTTGGCTGCTGCACAAATCAGTTTGCTCTGGAGCCATCCTTCCTGAGCCAAGACAAAAATGTGTGAGATGGAGGCTAAAAAAACCTGTGAGCTAGCTCACACTAACTCAGCTTAGAGGGAACACTGGTGTGTGTGTGTGTGTGTGTGTGTGTGTGTGTAATGTTGGAAGAGGAGGATGGATTTATACCCCGCCCTTCACGCAGAGTCTCAGAGCGGCTTACAAACTCCTTGTGTTCCCTTCCCTTCCCCACAACAGACACCCTGTGAGGCAGGCGGGGCTGAGAGAGCTCTGACAAACTGCTCTTTTCAAGGACAGCTCTGACAGAACTATGGCTTGCCCAAGGTCATCCAGCAGCTGCAAGTGGAGGAGTGGAGAATCAAACCCGGTACTCCCAGATTAGAGTCCGTGCACTTAACCACTGCACCAAACTGGCTGTGACACAAGATGGATCAGCTCAAGCGAGGAAGCCACGAGGGCCCTCCATTTGCAAGACCTGAGCACGGCTGTGAATGACAGGACGTTTGGGAGGACATTAATTCCTATGGTCGCCGTAAGTCGGAAGCGACTTGGTGGCACTTACAAACACACACACACGCACTCTGGGCCCCCAGGGGTGAGAAAAGCCGGGTATAAAAGTAAATAAACTATCAAACTTGGGTCAAACCCTGTCTCGTTAATTTGATTTGGGTATTGAGCCCTCGGTGCAGGAAACTATTGTCTCCATAACGACGGCCCCGTCGTAATTCTCCCAACACTTACCCAGGAGAACAATCTGTGGGATACTTTTCAAGACCCGCAGCATCTCCTGTGCCCTGGTCTCCGGGCTCACCAGTAGAAGGGTGCGTCCCACAAAGAGCGGGAGGAGGTTCTTGTATTTGGATTCCATAAGAACCGTTGTAATGATCTGGAAAGGGAAAGAGAACATAAGAGATGCCCTGCTGGATCAGACCAGCAGTCCATCTAGTCCAGTATCCCTGTTTCACACAATAGGAATCCAGCTGTCCTGGAGGGCCAACACAGAGGTCTCAGAGGCTGAGGCCCTCCCCCTCGATGTCACTTCCTAGCACTGGGATTCAAAGGTTGACTGCCTCTGAATGTGGAGGTTCCCTTTAGTCACTATGGCTAGTAGACACTGATGGACCTCTCCTCCATGAATCTGTCTAACCCACTTTTAAGGCCATCTGTCCTCGTGACCATCGCCACATCCACTAAGATGAAACATGCGAGCTGGGGCAGAAGAACATAAAAAGACCCCTGCTGGGTCAGACCATTTGTCCATCTGTTTTTATGTATGGGCATATTTCGCCCTCTTGTAAGCCGCCCTGAGCCCGTTTGCGGGGAGGGCGGGGTATAAATACAAAAATAAATAAAATAAAATAAATATAAAATAAAATCTAGTCCGGCATCCTGTCCCACAAAGTGGCCAACCAGTTCCTCTGGAGGACCAACAACAGGGCATAGAGGCCTTCCCCTGATAAGAACATAAGAAGAAGAGTCCTGCTGGATTAGACCAGTGGTCCACCTAGTCCAGCATCCTGCCTCACACAGCGGCCAACCAGTTCCTCTGGAGGGCCCACAACAGGGCACAGGGGTCCGAGGCCTTCCCCTGATGTTGCCTCCTGGCTCTGGGATTCAGAAGCTTAGTGCCTCTGAGTGTGGAGGTTCCCCTCAGCCACCATGGCTAATAGCCACTGACAGACCTATCCTTCATGAATCTATCTAATCCCTTTTAAATCTGTTTATTCCTGTGGCCCTCACTACATCCTCTGGCAGCAAATGCCACATTTTAATCTCTCTGTGTAAAGAAGTATTTCCTTTTGTCTGTCCTGAATCTACTGCCCGTCAGCTTCATCGGATGCCCTCATGTTATAGTATTTTGGGAGAGGGGGGAAACTTTCTCTTTGTCCGCTCTCTCCACCCCATGCATAATTTTATAAACCTCTATCATGTTCCCCCTCAGTCATCTCTTTTCTGAACAGAAAAGTCCCAGACTCTTCAGCCTTTCCTCACAGGGAAAGCACGACAACCCCCTAATCGTCTTGGTCTCTGTCCTCTGTACTTTTCCCAGCTCTGTGATGTCTTTTTGAGATGTGGTGACCAGAACTGTACACAGTATTCCACATGAGGCCGCACCATAGATCTATACAAGGGCATTAAAATATCAGCCATTTAATTCTCAATCCCTTTCCCTTTTCACCGCTGCAGAACACTGGGTGGACACTTTCATTGAGCTATCCACTATGGCCCCAAGATCTTTTTCCATCTCGGTCTCAGCAAGTTCATACCCCATTAACCTATGCTTGAAGTTGGGATTTTGACAACTTTGACAGCTTCAGATGTAAAGAACATCTGGCTGAAGGGAGCCGAACTAAGTGGTGGGGGAAGCAGAGGTTTGGCAGCCTCTGCCCTCTAGGTTCTATGATACGATCGGGCCCACTGACTGCTCCATCTCTAATCACTTGGTGAAAAATCAAATCAGCAATGTTAAGGGGTCGTTACAACCAGGGCTCTTTTTGTAGAAAAAGCCCAGCATGAACTCATTAGCATAATAGGCCACACCCAACAGCAGGAACTCATTAGCATATTGGGCCACACCCCTGACAGCACAGCTCATTAGCACATTAGGCCGCACCCCCATGTTACCAGAAGTGTGGTTATCCAGCCACACCCACCTTTTGCTTCTTATTCTGTTTACCTTGTTTGTTGTCAAAACCCAGGGCCTTTTTGTAGCAGGAACTCCTTTGCATGTTAGGCCACACACCCCTAATGTAGCCAATCCTAATGAGTTCCTGCTGTTGGGTGTGGCCTATTATGCTAATGAGTTCCTGCTGGGCGTGGCCAACTTGGGAGCCAGCCGGAACTCCGTTCCTGTGCATTCCTACCCAAAAATAGCCCTGATTACAACAATATCCCATATAATGAGTGAGTCTACTGTTGTGACCAGAGATCTGTTGAGGACCTGGCCCATGTGGTTTTTTGGTGCCTAAGATTTGCAGTGGATCATGAACGATACCGTGGGAACATTTTAACAAGATATCCAGGACAACTGGATGGGTCCAAACTTGTAATATTACTCGCAGGCCGAAATATATGGGTCACATTACAAATGGCAAATTTCCTTAGTTATAAAGATCCAGTCAAAACCCTCTAATGCCATTATGGTTGGTGAAGAGTGTCTTGCTCACGCTGGGTCTCTCTGTGCTATTATAGGATCTGTCGTTCAGGGGTTTTTTTTGGGGGGGGAGTTAGTATTTTTATGTGCATGTGTGTGTGCGTGCACCTCAAAGTCATGGCAACCTCTGGTGACTGGATGGAGGATATTCAGAGAGGGGGCTGATTAAAGCCTGCCCCCGCCTCCCAGCTCTGGTATTCCAAGGAGGTCTCCCATCCACATACCTGCCAGAGTCAACCCTGCTTAATTTCCAAGATCTGACGAGATCGGGCTTGCCTGGGCTATCCAGGTCAGGATCTGTAATTCGTTGTTAAACCTCGCCCTTTGTTACTAAGATTTGTGTTTGTTAATTATATATTACATTTTTAGATTTTAATGGATATTTTATGGGTTCTAATGTGCACTGTGATTGTTTTATGTTGCCGTGCACAGTTTTTCTTAATGTTTGCTACGGCTGTGAGCGAATGCCATAAACTTGACTTGACTGACTGACAGAATCGCATTGGCACGTTTGAGAAATGCCCTACAAAAGCTCTTTGGGGCTTCCAAGATTTTCCTTCTGAGCAGGAACCTCCAAATCTGGCCTCACTTTGGGTGAAATTTGGTCATGTCAAAGCAGCAGCAGGCTATATGAGAACATAAGAGAAGCCATGCTGGATCAGGCCAATAGCCCATCCAGTCCAACACTCTGTTGTCACACACACAGTGGTCAAAACCCAGGTGCCATCAGGAGGTCTACCAGGAGGGCTAGAAGTCCAGAAGCCCTCCCACTGTTGCCCCCCAAGCACCAAGAATACAGAGCACCACTGCCCCAGACAGAGTGTTCCATCTATACCTTGTGGCTAATAGCCACTGATGGACCTCCGTTCCACATGTTTATCCAATCCTCTCTTGAAGCTGTCTGTGCTTATAGCTGCCGCCGCCGCCACTTCTTGCGGCAGTGAATTCCATGTGTTCATTACGTTTTGGGTGCAGAAGTCCTTCCTTTTATCTATTCTAAGCCTACTGCTCATTAATTTCACTGGGTGCCCACAAGTTCTTGTATTGTGAGAAAGGGAGAAAAGGACTTCTTTCTCCACCTTCTCTATTCCAGGCATAATTCTGTAAACCTCTGTCATGTCACCCCCCAATACCGAGAATCTGGAGACACCAACAAGAAAATGCTTGTGTTCCCCCCACCCACCCTGTGCAGCCTTAGGTGACCCTACTTTGTGGCATGGTGCCTCCGGGATACCTAGAAGACCCATTTGCAACAGATCTGTACCTCGTTGGGGAAGAATTTGGCGTGAATGTTGTACTTCCGCAGCCGGTGCCTCATCAGTACGATCTCACCCCCAGGAGCATAGTTGTACTGGCACACAGCAATCATGTTGTTCTCAAGGAACGTTTGCTCCACTTGCCGACGCAGAAACTTCACAAAGCCATGCTCCTGGAGGGTGGGGTGGGGGAGAAGGAAGAGATTTGTTAGCAGCCATTCAGAAGTTGAGCCAAGACCCACCAAACCTGGAAGGGGCAGCAGGTTGAGAGGGGCTTATCTTGGATGCGTGAAGTTCCAGGATCAGTCAGAGAAGAGACTGGCTTTATACCCCGCTCTTCACTCGGAGTCTCAAAGCGGCTTACAAACTTCTTTCCCTTTCCCTCCCCACAACAGACACCCTGTGAGGTAAGTGGGGCTGAGAGAGCTCTTGACAGAAACTGTTCTTTCAAGGACAGCTCTGACAGAACTATGGCTTGCCCAAGGTCATCCAGCAGGTGCAAGTGGAGGAGTGGGGAATCAAACCCAGTTCTCCCAGATTGGAGTCTGTGTACTTAACCACTACACCAAACTGGCTCTCAGTGGGATCCCAGCTGCTATCCCCTGCATTTGTAAGCCTATTCCTGAGAATTGGGGCTTCAGTGAAACCTTTTGTAAGCCATCTTGCCATTGCTGGCCTAGGCATCCAACTTGACTCAACCCCGCACCAGTTCCTACCATTCACAGTCAGGGCTGGCCCCAAGGCTTATTGACGACAACCTGATTATTATTTTGAAGGGTGATGCATGCCAAATGAACCATGACCATTTAACAGGACAACATAAATAGGGTGACTTTACAGTATGTCTCCGAAAGCGACCAGGTTCTGACTTTGGTGAGTCACCAGGATAACCTGATTAGCTAGTAGTAGAAAAGGGCAAGAGTCTAGTAGCACCTTGAAGACTAACAAAATTTGTGGCAGGGTACAAGCTTTCAGGACTCACTGCTCACTTATTCAGATATAGCTAGATCTGAAGAGAAACCAGATGGATGTGAGCAAGATTAGGAGCCCTGTATTTGATGTAAGTACACTTAACAAGATAGTTTTGAGACCTTACATCAAATATTTAGATTTCAGCAATCATAGAAGAATTTTTACCCTATTAAGATACAATGCTTTACCCTCAGCCATAATGGAGGCCAGATATACTAGATCACTGAAGAAAAGTTGTATATGTGGGATGGGAACTGATGAAACATCGGAACATGTAATTTTCGATTGTATTATATATCATAATATTTGGGAAGTTTTGATTAAGCCTATAGTTAACTCCTTTCCAGGTCGTAATAGAAGGATACTTTTGTCAATTATGCTGGCAGGAAACAATCAAAAGATGACCAGGATGGTTGCCAAATTTGGTTGGTTGGCATACCAAACTAGGAAAGAGATAAAGTGCAGATAGGTCTAAATCTAATTTCTGATCTTAAATATTGATTTTATCATTTCTGTATTTTAAAGTTTTTTAGACACCTATTTGTAATTTTAAATGCCATTACATTTTATAATTTTATTTCTCCCTTATTTGTTTTCTATTATACTGGTCCATGACCGTAATAAAGAATGTGTGTGTATGATATAGCTAGAATGGGAGTCCATCTGTCCGTATCTGAAATCACTCCACTTTACAAGATATAAGGACAGATGGACTCACATCCTAGTGGTATCTGAAGAAGTGAACAGTGACTCAGGAAAGCTCCTACCCTGCCACATATTTTGTTAGTCTTTAAGGTGCTACCGGACTCTTGCTCTTTTCTATTGCTACAGTCAAACTAACATGGCTACCAATGCTCCCTCTACTTTGTGAGCTACTGGCATTAAAGTTGTGAGCGAGCGATTTGGCTACTGCATAAATTAGTTTGCTCTGGAGCTATCCTTCCTGAGCTAAGACAAAAGTGTGTCAGCCAGAGGCCAAATAACTGAGCCAGCTCACACTAATTCAGCTTAGAGGGAACTCTGATGGCTACCCATCTTGATCAGATTAGCTAGTAATATTTTAATTCATTGTTCTAGATTTTCTGGGCTGTATGGCTATGGTCTTGGCATTGTAGGACCTGACGTTTTGCCAGCAACTGTGATTGGCATCCTCAGAGGTATAACACAGAAAGATGGAGTACTCTCTGTGTCAAGGTGAGAAGAAAAATGGTAGGCAGGTAATTTATATCTACTCAGGAAGGTGGGGTAGGGCTGAGTCAATATCTTGTAGGCGTTCCCCAGCTGTGACATGCTAATGGAGGAGCTTTCCTGAGGAGGTTCATTTGCATATGGATTGGCTGTTGAAATTCCAATCTTATCTGTAGTGCTATTGTAAGATGTAGAGCATTTTGTGTCTTTCAGTACAGGGAAACGAAGGGGAGGCATGCCTCCCCAATTGGTCTTCCCTTCCGCAGCCAGTGTTCCCCTCCATGGATAGGCTTCGGGGGGGGGGGGAGTAAAGAAAGAAAACAACTTCAACTTGAATACTTCAGTTTTGCATCGTTCGGGGGAAGGCCAGGAGAGTGGGAGCGTCCCTGACCTCCTCAGGCAGGCCGTTTCCACAAGGCCATTGATTTTGCCCATTTGGGGGTTGGCACCTACAGAAAGCCCCTGCTGACTTGAGCAAAGTTGTCATGGCAGAGCACAGGGAGAGAGGCGGTCCCACAAACAAGAGAGGCCAAGACCATGGAGGGCTTTGTAGGGTCTGATTCGTTCAGAGCTTTGTTAAGTCAAAAACCCGCACAGCAAACTGCATCTGGAAGTGATGTAAAAGACCTCCGCCTGAGACCCTGGAGAGCCGCTGCCAGTCTGAGCAGACAATACTGACTTCGACGGACCAAAGGTCTGATTCAGGATAAGGCAGCTTCATGTGTTCATGTGAGTCCGTTGCTTTCCAGACTCACATGAACACATGAAACTGCCCTATACCGAATCAAACCCTTGGTCCGTCAAAGTCAGTATTATCTACTCAGACTAGCAGCGGCTCTCCAGGGTCTCAGGCGGAGGTCTTTCACATTGCCTTCTACCTGGGGCTTTCAAGTGGAGATGCCGGGGATTGAACCTGGGACCTTCTGCATGCCAAGCAGGTGCTCTACCACTGAGCCACAGCCCCTGCTATGCCCTATTTTCCCGGTGAGCAATCCTATGAGGATAAAAAGGTTATGCGGCATTCAGAAATCATACATACGGCACTGCAGCTTGCGTCACCATGGAAGACAAAAACATGATAAAGCCTCTTCAAGCTTTTGACCTACAAAAGGGTCTCTACTCTAAAAACAAAATCATGGAGGATCCTGGGTGGGCTGTGCCATTACCTCTTCGGCCACCTTGACACGGGGCATGCACTCCGGCGCGATGAGGGGCTTTGGCGGGATGTATTCTGTCACCTCCATCAGCTTCTGCCTCACGAAGTGCATCGGCTTCCAGTGACGAGTGACGGCTTTGGAGCCATGGCGGATGAGCTGGAAGGAGGGCTGCCAGCCTGTAGTTGTCAAAACAAGGAGAGAGAGAGAGAGAGAAACCACACACACTCCAGGGCCTGTTAAAACCCCAACAGGTCAAATCCCAATAGTAAGGCATTTGAGTAAGGCATAAGAGAGCCAGTGTGGTGGTGTGGTTAACAGCGGCAGACTCTAATCTGGAGAGCCAGGTTTGGTTCCCCACTCCTCCTTTATATGAAGCCTGCTGGGTGACATTGGGCCAGTCACTGTTCTCTCTCAGAACTCTCTCAGCCCCACCTGCCTCACAAGATGACTGTTTGTGGGAAGAGGAAGGGAAGGAGATTGTAAACCACTTTGAGACTCCTTAAGGTAGAGAAAAGCAGGGTATAAATGTCTAAATAGAGCCAGTGTGGTGTAGTGGTTAAGTGGCAGACTCTAACCTGGAGAACTGGGTTTGGATCTCCCACTCCTGCACTTGAAGCCGGCTGGGTGACCTTGGGTCAGTCACAGTTCTCTCTCAGAACTTTCTCAGCCCCACCTGCCTCACAGGGTGTCTCTTGTGGGGAGAGGAAGGGAAGGCGATTGGAAGCTGCTCTGGGACTCCTTAGGGTAGAGAAAAGCAGGGTATAAAAACAAACTCTTCTTCACTTTAGCCCCCCCCCCCCCCCCCCCTTTGAACATATGTATGACTATCTACCAGCTGGACAGAAGTCATGAGTGTGTGCTTGGTAGGGTTGTCAACTCCGGGTTAGGAAATACCTGGAGATTTTGTGGGTGGAGCCTCAGGAGGGCGAGGTTTGGGGCATAATGCCATAGAGGCCAACTTCCAAAGCAGCCATTTTTTCCAGGCGAAATGAACTCTGTCACCTGGAGATCAGTTGTAATTCCAGCAGATCTACAGCTACCACCTGGAGACTGGCAACCATAAATTGAGGGGATGTGCAGCAGAACACAAGGACCAAGAGATCCTCTAACCTGGCTCCCTGCCCTAAAGATGACTCCATGCAAACCAGATGTACGGAGCACTCGGCTCCACAGTATTCACACAGGCCAAGTTGCGGCGGAATACAGAATACACACCTCCTCCCCACCCAGCCTCGAAGAACAGCATTCATGTTGCAAACACTGCGTGGAGTCACACCTAGTTGTTCCACTTCAGAGGTGGTTCTGGGGTCAAAAAACGAGGCTTCAGTTTGGACTCTGAGACAGGAGTCGGCCTTGTTTGCATTCTCAGTGCATAAAAGCGGAGATGTCTCCCAGATGAGGAACAAATTTGTTTTTAGTGGGGGAGCCCCCACGCACAGAAGGAAGGGATATTCTCCGCGTAAAAGAGGTTATCCCTGGCCAATGCGACACACGAGGCGGGCAGGATTAGAGCCTAGACCGAAATAATGACCGGCAGGGCGCTAACCCCAAGGAGGCTACAGGATAAATGC